GAAGTGATGCATTAGTTCATGCCCTCTCCAGAACTAAGGGACCCATCAATTAGCCTGGCCACCGTTAGCAGACAACATCTCTCTTTTGGGTTGGAAAAAGTTCTCCAAGTTATGATTGCCTGCCTCCTCATTCTATCACCCCACTGATTGAAGAGATATATCTTCTAATCCAAGACTTATTTTTTCAAAGCCCCCGAAGAGTACCCAAACTCAGAACTCAGAGTAAGAAGCTGTAGTAGCATTAGGCATAAAATAGGCAGAGCCAAAACACAGGGTGGAACTCTTAACAGTGTTTTAACATGATGGTCTAGTTCACTTGAGATAAGACAAACACAGGCTTCCTAATCAGAAGCTAGGGGCAGCCTGGTTCAGTGGTTAAAGATGCTGAGCTTGTCATATGGAAAGCTGACAGCCTGGGTTCAAGACCCAAGCACTACGCGATGGGTGAGCTCCCATTACTTGCTACAGTTCCTGCCCACCCAGCAGTTCGAAAGCATGCAAATAATTATAGAGTAAGGTAGGGTAGGGTAGAGTAGAGTAGAGTAGAGTAGAGTAGAATAGAATAGGAATAGGAGGAGAGGAGAGGAGAGGAGAGAAGAATAGGAATAAGAATAAGAATAGAATAGAATAGGAATAGAATAGAATAGAATAGAATAATTCTTTATTGGCCAGGTGTGATTGGACACACAAGGAATTTGTCTCCGGTGCATAAGTTCTCAGAGTACATACAAGCAACATAATCATCGTAAAAATACATTCATCATGAATCATAAAATTCAACACTTAGTGCTAGTCATAGGATACTAAATAAGCAATCAACATAAATCATACTAGGATGCTAAATAAAACAATATAAGTAGTAAAATGCAAGCAACAACTTTATAGTCATAAGAAGATAAGGAGATAGGTAATAGGAAAGATGAGAAGAACAATAGTAATTCAGCTTTACTAGATAGTTTGACCATGTTGTGGGAATTAGTTGTTTAGCAGAGTGCTGGCATGGGGGGAAAACCTATCCTTGTGTCTAGTTGTTCTGGTGTGCGATGCCCTATAGCAGAGGTATCAAACTCTGCTCAGTGTCATCAAGTGATGTATCACAACCTTTTCCCTTTCATTAAACTGGGCCAGTGTGGCCAATGTGTGATGCATCCAGCCTGTGGGCCACAAGTTTGACACCCCTGCCCTATAGCATCATCTTGAGGGTAGAAGTTGAAACAGTTTATATCCAAGATGTGAGGGCTCTATAGATATTATCACAGCCCTCTTTCTGGCTCATGCAGTATACAGGTCCTCAATGGGAGGCAGGTGGGTAGATAAATAGCATTCCCAGGAAGGTTCTACACCAGGGGTGTCAAACTCAAGGGCTGGATCCGGCCCGCAGGATGTTTAAATTTGGCCCACAGGGCCGGCCTGGAAATATCAAAGGACTGGCCCACAAGGCCTCCACGAGGCCCGTTTTTGGTCAGCTGCTGGAGGCCAGGGAGGCTGAAAACGAGGCACAGGAGTCCCCCACTGCAGTCCCCGAACTCCCCATTTTGGCCAGCAAAGTGCTGAGGAGGCATCCATCCCATCTTCCCCCGCTCCCTGCCCCCCCGCCGGCCCACCGAGGACAAGTACAATGTTGATCCAGACCTCAAAGAAATCCAGTTTGACACCCCTGTTCTACACCCATTTCAGGTGACTCTGAGGATACAAATAAACCCCCAAGTGGCCTCAGCAACTCTAGAGAGCTAACAACCAATCCTCAGAGTGCTAATGACCAGATGACTGCAAAGAATAAAAATCCTTCCGCTCCCCACCAGTCAGTTAGAACTGAAGAAGCTTCTTGGTTGAGAAGTGAAATGTTTTCAAGGAGGAAAAAACAAGAAACTCCACTTGCCTTTCAGAAAAAAAGCATGGATGATTGAGAATCTCCATAGACATACCTCCATTCCTCTGGGAAAGTCAAAACTAGAGCATTGACAGTGTGATTTCTGATAGTGAAAAAGTGTAGAGATGACATTTCTTAGGGACATTTTTTCTTTTACCATCCTTTGAAACTTAAATGCATACATTAATTAATTACTTAACCAAAATACTAAACGTAACTTGTAGGCTGTGATCCAATGCAACTTACCTTGGAAGAAAATTGCAAGGGACTAACTTCAGAGTAATCATACACATAGGAGCAGGCAATATATATATATATATTTTTAAAGAATTATTCATTCCTGTTAATTTGATTAACTGGGTATGTTATATGAGATTTCTATTAAGCAAGATGACCTATTTACACTGGCAATTATCAACTTACAGTGCAATGAGCAATCAAACACTTGTGTTCTGGAGTTAACTGACATGTGCTAATTTCATTACACACCTGCAGACACATTAACCTAGTCAGTTAGAGACATTGGGGAGCAGCAACTAACCAAGATGTCTAGCAAGGCTGAGTGTATGTTCACTGATTTGCTTACTGGATCCCAGGATCATCTATTTCCAATCCAAAAAGCTGCTTCGTTCTTGTCCTCAACTGGGTGCAGAATCACTGCTACCCTTCTATCGGGTTTTGTCTTCATCTGATCAAGACAAAGCATGCTTTACAGAGCAGAAGGATATTAAAGAATCCTTCAATGGATCTTGACCAAAACAAATGTGGGAGATTTACTCCCTGTAGATCCATGCTGGATGAACACTAGTAAGAATTAAGTAAGAGAAAAACAGAGGTGGAAGTCCAACCCCTTGCTTTAACAGGGGACCCTGTACCATTCCAGAGAAGTGACTGTCCAGCCTCTCCTTAAAAGCCTCCAGTGATGGAGCACCCATAACTTCTGAAGGCAAAGCTGTTCCACTGGTTGATTCTTCCCACTGTCAGGAAATCCCTCCTTAGTTCTAGGTTGCTTCTCTCCTTGGTTAGCTTCCATCCGTTGCTTCTTGTCCTGCCTTCTGGCCCTTTGGAAATTAGTTTGACTCACTCCTCTTTGCAGGAGCCCATCAAATATTGGAACACTGCTGACATGTGCTTCTTTTCATTAGACTAGACCTACCTAATTCCTGTAACCATTCTTCATATATATTAGTCTTCAACACCCTAATCATTCTTGTTGGTCTTCTCTGCAGTCTTTTAATGGTTGTCATTAAGGGTGGAAAATGCTTTCCTTCTTAATGGTCATTAGGGAAAGTTATAGGGTACCATCAAGCATGTGTTCTTCCAACAAAACAGTAGCAACAAGACCCAATGGCATGGGGTAGAACACAGTAGCAATAGCACTTAGACTTATATATCACTTTACAGTGCTTTACAGCCCTCTCTAAGTATTTTACAGAGTCACCCCAACCATCTGGGTCCTCATTTTACCCACCTCAGAAGGATGGAAGGCTGAATCAACCTTGAACCTGTTGAGATTCGAACTGCCAAATTGCAGGCAGATGGCAGTCAGCAGAAGTAGCTTGCAGTACTGCACTCTAACCACTGCGCCACCATGGCTCAATCATGTAGATCAGCGGTCACCAACAGTGGGCCAGGAACCACTGGTGGTCCGTGATAAAATTTTGGTTGTCTGCAGAGAAATGTCCCCCCCCCCAAAGCACTCCCCCCAAGGCAATTAATCCAGGCTGCACGAGAATACAAGTCTGCACCACCCACTGGCCCCCATCCTTCGGCCGAGCACAAACCTTTCCTCGAGTAGAGCACGTGAGCTGGAACTGGAAGGTAAGACCAACGGCAGGGGAGGAAATCCACCCCGGGGTGGCTTGCTGACGTTGGTGGGAAAGTCGGTCCCATATTCCAGATCTGCAGTAGTCACAGGACTGGCCCTTTGGTCATCCCACAGCAGCTCCTCCAGTCCATGGCAGGCCGGTGTACCTGGATGGAGGAGCAGCTGCTCCAGGATGACCAAAGGGCCAGTCCTATGACTACTGCAGCTCTGGAATATGGGACCGACTTTCCCACCAACGTCAGCAAGCCACCGTCAGACAAAATTCATATTCGTGGTCAGCAGGATTTAAAAGTATGAGTTTGGTGGTCCCTGAGATCCAAAAGGTTGGTGACCTCTGATGTAGATACCATCACTAGTCTCAATCATTTCCATGGCTCCAAGGGATCAAAGCCACAGACCTCTTAATAGAATCTTACAAATCTTGTAACCAGCCTTAAGTAGCAGCTAAGACCTTGACTTCCCCACGTGCCTGAGAACGGAAAGCAACCAAAGGCATAATTTATCCAAGCCCAGGATCATGAAGTGTTAACCAAAACCAGATGAAGTTATTACTACAACCACAGGCCACAAAACATAAGTGGGGTGGGAATTGCTTATTTCTTTTGTCTTTGTCTTGGCACATCTAAAGGGCTCCTCGAAAAAGAGGAAAAAACACGAGACGTGAAATTGATGTAAAGCGATTCGTTAGCGCTAATGAGCAATGCCAATCACACTCACTTTCAAACACAGGCGGTGGGTGTTGATGTAGCTAGTCTTTAACTCATTCTTCCCAAACTTTTTTATTAGGTACATATGTCTACGGCAGACACAAATGAAACATTCCACAACTAGGCTTCCAGCCAAAAACTAATTTATTCTTTAATATGGTTGCGATTACTTGGTGGTTCCTTGAGTTGAGATGACAGGTCCAGGGCTAATGGAGTCATACTGTAAGTTAATATAAATCATGACAGAGCAATTAATTACCGAAACCACTGCAAATCCCTTTGTTAGTTTTCCCCGTCACCAGAAGGATTTAATAACGTTCGTTTTGCTAAGTTCCAGTGACATTTACAAATCTTAAAACCATTTTTTAATAAAATCAATATCGCCGCTCTGGCTGAACGGTGCTGTGCTACAGTAGCTTGCCTCAGATTGAGCGGATGCGAATGTGCCTTGCCTTCTGTCTGAAACGCATCATAAAAGGGCCAGCAGAGTTCTCGGGTTTTTGTAAAGGTTGGGACATTAGGGTTAAAAGAAGTACAAGTAGTCCTTGATTTATTACCACAGCTGAGCCCAAAATTTCCATTGCTAAGCAAGGCAGTTGTTAAGTGAGTTTTGCCCCGTTTTATGACCTTTCTTGCCACCGTTGTTAAGTGAGTCACTTGCGGTTCTTATATTAGTAGCACAGTTGTTGGCTGAATTGGGCTCCCCCGTTGACTTTACTTGTCAGAAAGTCTCAAAGGGCGATCAGAATAGAATAACAGAATTGGAAGGGACCTTGGAGGTCTTCTAGTCCAACCCGCTGCCTAGGTAGGAAACCCCCACACCACTTCAGCCAAATGACTATCCAACATCTTTTTTAAAACTTCCAGTGTTGGAGAATTTACAACTTCTGGAGGCAAGTTGTTCCACTGATCGATTGTTCTAACTGTCAGGAAATTTCTTCTTAGTTCTAAGTTGCTTCTCTCCTTGATTAGTTCCTACCAATTGCTTCTTGTCCTACCTGCAGGAGCTTTGGAGAATAGCTTGACTCCCTCTTCTTTGGGGCAGCCCCTGAGATATTGGAACACTGCTCTCATATCTTCCCTAGTCCTTCTTTTCATCAAACTTAGACATACCCAATTCCAGCAACCGTTCTTTATATGTTTTAGCCTCCAGTCCCCTAATCCTCTTTGTGGCTCTTCTCTGCACTCTTTCTAGAGTCTCAACATCTTTTTTACATCATGGCGACCAAAACTGGATGCGGTATTCCAAGTGTGGCCTTATCAAGGCCTTATAAAGTGATATTCACACTTCATGTGATCTTGATTCTATCCCTCTGTTTATGCAGCCTAGAACTGTGTTGGCTTTTTTTGACAGCTGCAGCGCACGGCTGGCTCATATCGAAATAATTGTCCACTAGGACTTCCGAGATCACTTTCACAATGAGCAAGGTAGCATCTATACTGTACCAGTGCATTTTGTTTTGTTTTGTTTCTTGCCTAAATGTAGAACCTTCCTTTTTGCACCATTGAATTTCATTTTGAAACTTCCAAAGGAGAAGGACTGGGATTGGGAAGCAGGTTTGCAAACTAAAAGCAGTTTATTGCCTCGGCCTCGGTTGCTTGCAGCTGAGAATGCCCTGAAACCTCAAACTTCCTAGCCTACGAAACATTTCAAACCCACGCTGGACTTCACACCGTTGAAGGCATTGTGTCTTTTGAAGCAGGCAACCCAGAGAGGAACGGAACAACCCTCTTATGTCTCCGGTATGAAATGGCTTTGATAGTTTGGCCTTCTTTCTCTCAACACACGAATTTCTGGGCGCTTTGATGATAGGGTTTCATATCCCTAGGATATTTAATTTCACGGTGCTAAAAAAAATAATAAAAAGAAGACTGTTCTGAAAGAAAATAAAAGGAAGGCACACCGCTTGTTCTTTGTCTCTCTAAACAGCAGCACCTAATGTTACAGTCTGAAGGCTTGTTATATTGGGTTGCATTTAGATCACTTTCCTTTTTCTCCCGTTCATATTTGCAACAATAACTCCCAGATGTCCACGATCCCCAAGGACCTCTAGCTGATCAAGGAATAACAACACCAAACACATCAGCAATGAATAATGAACAAGCAGAAGACGTCTCTTCTGAAGCACTCCTAACTCTGAAGTCCGAGGTCCTCAGAGATATGACTCGTATTCTTTCTGTCTTTGCTGGATGATTCATTGATGTTGGTGCAAATCAGTTAAAATCACTGGCATTTCTAGTGTTGACACCTACTTTCAGAATGCAGGGAGTGGAGCCCAGGTGGTATTCAGCAAGTTCGGACCAGTTTTGGAGAGGATGTGTTCTGGTCTTTTGGTTTCCTTAATTTTTTTTTATTGTCTCCTTTGAATGGTGTGCAAATGTGGTTTATCTCTACGTGTTTGTTGAGGGTTGATTTGTCTGAATGGCAAGCTTCAAGGAATTTCCTAGCATTTCCCTAGCATGTTATATACCGGTACCAGAGGTGGTATTCAGCAGGTTCTGACCAGTTCTGGAGAACCGGTAGTGAGAATTTTGAATAGTTCGGAGAACCGGCAAATACACACCTCCGACTGGCCCCGTCTCCATCTATTCTCTGCCTCCTGAGTCCCAGCTGGGTCTTCTTTTGTTGCCCTGCACAGGAGAACGGAGCTGGAAAGCAGGTTAGTGGGGTGGGGAGGGAATGGGGATTTTACAGTATCCTTCCCCTGCCAAGCCCACCAAGCCATGCCCACCCAGCCATGCCCACCAAGCCATACTACACCCACCAAGCCATGCCCACAGAACCGGTAGTAAAAACATTTTAATCCCACCACTGGAGTGGAGCAAAGAAGCTTGTTAGGTTGATCGGTCACGATAAAATGGAAACATCAGAACATGTTAGGGACAAGCAAAGAGAAGGACATGAGGATGCCTGATGTCTGAGCTTGTTTATTCTTTACAGAACCTGGAACACTTCCATAAAGTTCTTTGAGATGGCTGTGCATATCCTGCTCCTAATTGTTATCCATCCTGATTATAGCTGAGTAATTTAGACTTAATAATGTTGCAACTACAGTTCTTTCCAGTTACCGGCCTGGCAGTGCAGTGGTTAGAATGCAGCACTGCAGGCTACTTCTGCTGACTGCCAGCTGCCAGCAGTTCAGCAGTTCGATCCTGAGCGGCTCAAGGTTGACTCAGCCATTCACCCTTCTGAGGTGGGTAAAATGAGGACCCAGCTTGTTGGGGGCAATAGGTTGACACTGTAAACACCTGGCTAGGGAATTCTGGGAAATGAAATCCACACAGGTTGAGAAATCCTGCGCTAGAGAAAGGTGTGAAATTTTGCATGGAAACGAGATGGGAAGTTTCAACACACACCTTTTTCCCCTATAATAGAAAGTTAACCTATGGAAATTTCTAACCTATTTCAACACCTGACCGATTTCCCCATCTTAATAATATCTTCTAGGTACAAATGAATTGATTGAAAGCAAGCCTTCATTGCTTAACTTAGTGCGTCTTACCTTCCCACGTCTTCACCCACTTAAATCAAATTATTCCGGTGACTGGAAGGTATGCAAGGTTTCCAAAGAAGAATTTGATTAAAATTGTCTGATATATACATAGATATATGATCAGTTATGATTTCCGGGGCTTCTTATATACACTCCCCATGTCCATGCATTCTGGCATTACGGGAAGCTCATTAACAAACACGATGGCCCAGTTAGTTACCTGTTTCATTATGCAAAACATATACGTTTCATTTTTAGTTGCTAAGCGGGGGAGGGAAATCCATTCGCTTCAACATAATATAATGATTTCTTTGGACTTCTTCTCATTACACTAACTGCCTCCAGCCCTTAAAATCTCAACTGGTGGTAGAATGCCAGGGGAACCCTGATGGTGCCAATTTTAGCAAAATAATCTTTATCTGCCGATAAAAATGCAAAACGTTAACAACTCTGAAAGATGACCACTGGCTAAGTAAGAACACTCACCTGCAAGAAATATGGCCTCTGGATATCAGAGGTGGTATTCAGCAGGTTCTGACCAGTTCTGGAGAACCGGTAGCGGAAAATTTGAGTAGTTTGGAGAACTGGAAAATACCACCTCTGACTGGCACCGCCCCCAACTATTCTCTGCCTCCTGAGTCCCAGCTGATCGGCTGCGTATTCTTTGGTTGCCCTGCACAGGAGAACGGATCTGGAAAGCAGGTTAGTGGGGTGGGGAGGGAATGGGGATTTTGCAGTAACCTTCTCCCAGGAGTGGGGAGGGAATGAGGATTTTACACTGTCCTTCCCCTGCCAGGCCCACCAAGCCATGCCCGCCAAGCCACGCCCACAGAACTGGTAATAAAAAAAATTGAATCCCACCACTGTTGGATATCATTTTAAAAAGTTATTTGAGGTGGAAATTAAAAGCCTGTATTTCTCAGGTGGGAATTTTGTTTCTGTTCTTTCTGGTTCTATGAACATCTGTGAATTAAGCACCAAAAAGTGTTGTGTTCTCACCTGGTAGCTGATGAAAAATAGCAATTATTTTTGCCACTAGCAAACTGTAAAACAGGGATGGACAGATTTTAGGCAACTACACTTTTCACACTTCATGGACCATGGAGTATCAGCCACAAAGGATCAGGAGCACACATGAAGTTGCAGCACAGAAGATTTATTCAAGCCAATACACAAGAATTGAGTCAACTAATGGCCGGCATTAAATTGGCACAAGATAAGGATCAACGGAATTCATGGAGAGTGGCCTTGGATCATTTGTGGCAATGTAAGGACTCTAAGCTGGTGACACATTTAACTCTGCCTCTCAGCTCTGCCTGCTCTTCTACAACAAATTTAAGCACAAAATTACAGTATTACTCACAAAGGTTGATGTAGATCAGGGGTGTCAAACTCGATTTCATTGAGGGCAGCATCAGGGTTGTATTTGACCTTTGGGGGCTGGGGGCATGGCCACGGGGGGGGGGCATGGCCTGCTCAACGTCACTCATGTCAGTGGCGCCTGGGGTGGCCCAAGCACTCTGCCAGTGAAAATGGGCTCCCAAACTCGGTATTCAACTGTGACAGTTTCCTGCAACCTTCTGCCAGCGAAAACTGAGCTCTGGAGGGCCACCCATGACCCTCATGAGCTCCATTTCAACTGTGACAGCCACCTGCAACCCTCTGCCAGTGAAAACAGAACTCAAACTCCATTTTTGCTGGCAGAGGCACTTATGGGCCAGTCCTGTGCTGTTTCCAGGGCAGCCTCACTGGGCAGATGTAAGCACCTCATGGGCCAGATTCGGCCCCCAGGCCTTGAGTTTGACACACCTGATGTAGATGATTAGGACATATCCTCAGCCTGAGAATTGGTTTTGATTGGCCAAACTAGTATTTGGACCCATTCCTCTCACCGGCCTCTATTCTTACTTGGCCGCAAGTTATTTTTGCTTTTATTTAGGATGGGAGAAGCTTGCTTTTTGGCCTCCACTGCAGATTGATACATTATCCTCATCCAAATCCTTCTGATAATTTCACTCTTCAGGCGGTAGAATCACACTCAACAAGTCAGTTCCAACCATTTAGCTGAAATGTATTAACAAGGCTCAAACACCAAGTCGCCTTTCAGGGAACTGTATCTCGAAAGATGAAATGGAATTTGAAGGACACTTGTTTCATTCTCCTATTCTCAGGATGTTTTAAGAGAATAACAGAGTTCGAAGGGACCTTGGAGGTCTTCTAGTCCAGCCCCTATTCCTATAATCATTGTGGTCAAATGGCTGTCCAGTCTCTTCTTTTTTTAATAGTTTTTTTCCTTTTTTTTTTACTTGAATGTATCATCTTCCATTAAACAGTGTGCATTTAAGTACAAATGTCTCTGTGCTGTTACAATCAAAATCTACAGTATTCGTTACATTGATAATAATTCTCTAATCTTACAATAATAATAATAATCAGCATTATAACTCTATTCATTTCTCCCTCTTAATGTATCTTCTAATGAAAATATATTATGTTAGGTATAATAATCTTAACAATCATATTCATCATCATCATCATTATATTGTTTACATCTCTGCCTTATCATATATTCTTTATTTCACTTGTCTCCATTCATTTCTCACTTCTGTTTTTATTCTCCCACTGTCCATAAAATAGTCGCCAGTGTCATCTTGAAAGTTGGAAGGGATGTTAGAGGTCTTCTACAGAGGAATTTTGGAGTTTATCATCTGAACCTCTATTACTGTCTGGTTTGGTTCTGTAACCCAACAGGACAGACACAAGACTTCAGACTGCAGAAAAAACAATTGCTACCAACCTGCTTTCCAACGAGGACCTGTATACTGCACGAGTCAAAAAGAGGGCTGGGAAAATATTTACAGACTCCTCACATCCCGGACATAAACTGTTTCAACTCCTTCCCTCAAAATGACACTATAGAGCACTGCACACCAGAACAACTAGACACAAAAACAGTTTTTTCCCAAATGCCATCACTCTGCTAAACAAATAATTCCCTCAACACTGTCCAACTATTTACAAAGTCTGCACTACTATTACTATTAATCTCATTACTCCTTATCACCCATTCCTTTCCACTTGTGACTGTATGACTGTAACTTTGTCGCTTGTATCCTTATGATCTATATTGACTGTTTCCTAGTATGATTTGATTGCTTATTGCACTCTATGACTATCATTAAGTGTCGTACCTGATGACTCTTGATGAATGTATCTTTTCTTTTATGTACACTGAGAGCATTTGCACCAAGACAAATTCCTTGTGTCCAATCACCCTTGGCCAATTTAAAAAAAAAGAATTCTAATTCTAAAAAGAATTCTTCTAGTCCAACTCCCTGTTCAGTTGGGAGCATCCAAACCAAAACTGTCCTGAGACTGCAAATCAGCTACAAGGAGACCCATGAAATTTCGGAGAGGGATGCTGCTAGAGGACATCGTGATTGATACCACATCCTCATTCATGCATATTCCATTGTTTATTTTATTGTTTTCATTGTTTTGCTGTGTTACGTTTACACTTCCTTTCATTTCTGTGTTTTTACTGTTGTAAGTTGCCTGGAATAGTCCCATGGTGAAATAGACTGCAAATTCCCAAGGTGTTTTTTTCAACACTTCAACATGACTTTCTTTTCTTTGAAGACTTCACTTCTCATCCAAGAAACTTCTTCAGCTCTGACTGGATGGTGGGGAATGGAAGGATTTGCATTCCTTGCAGACATAAATCCTTCCGTTCCACACCATTCAGTCAGAGCTGAAAAAGCTCCTTGGATGAGAAGTGAAATATCTTCAAAGAAAAACAAAAGAAAGTCCAGTTGCCTCTTGAAAAAGCACCTTTGGGATAACCATGACCTGGAGGACTGAGACCCTCCATAGAGATAAGCTGCAAATAAATTTAATAAATAAAATAAATATTTTGCATCTCCCTCTCTCTCACGCACACACACCCTTCCCTGGTCTGATGAGGAATTCTCTGTAATTAAAATCATTACTGCCAATTGAACTATATGGAATATGTATGGGGGTTTTATTTTTATTTATTTATTTATTTTTGTCAATTGCTTGCAAGATAATAGGTATAAGTAAAAACATAGTTATGAATACATGGATACATATAAGAAAAATAAAAAAATAAAAGAAACAATAGGACAGGGACGGTAGGCACGTTGGTGCACTTATGCACACCCCCTACAGACCTCTTAGGAAAGCGGTGAGGTCAATAGTAGACAGTCTAAGGTTAAAGTTTTTGGGGTTTGGGGAAGAAACCACAGAGTCAGGTAAAGTATTCCAGACATTGACCATTCTGTTGCTGAAGACGTATTTCCTGCAATCAAGTTTGGTGCGATTAACCTTGAGTTTGTATCTCTTGTTTGCTGTTGTGTTGTTATGGTTGAAGCTGAAGTATTCATTGACAATTAGGACATTGCAGTGAATGATTTTATATACTATACTTAGATCGGACCGAAGGCGGCGTAGTTCTAGGTTTTCTAGGTCTAGAATTTCAAGTCTGGTGGCATAACGTATATAAGGTTGTTTTGGGAGTCGGGGAGGAAAAGAGATACATATAAATTTTTGGACAGGAACCTGAAGCACATTTTTAAACAAAAAATTCTATTCGTATTCATTATCTTTATGTTCAAATCAAAAACATGCATGACTTTTAACCTGACAACAACATAGGAAAAATGGGTCATTCAAGATAAATTGGCAAATGTCTCTATACAACACAAAATTATTTTACTGATTTATTGATTTATTTTGCCAGCCATTTGGCCAAAAACAATAAAAAAAATTATGAAACTGGAGAAAATAGTCAATTCTGATGGCTTTCTAATTTGAATTTTAATCATTGCTATTTACATCAGGAGAGGATTAGACTGAATCATATAACCTTAGCTAAATTTCTTCCTTACTTATATCAGGCCAACTTAAAGAAGCCAGATAAAAGTTATCCTTGGTTGTGCAAGTTGTACTCAATATTGTTGCTTAAAGTAGGTTCCAAAATATCATTAATAATTTATCTTATTTTGATTCAATTAACAAAAAAATAGACAGGCATCTGACAATAGTCATTTGGTGACTATAGCCTCAGATAATTTGGAGTTGCCTGTTTTAATCTCATTAGAGGATGAAAAGGCCTTTGATATGGTTCAGATCAGGTTTTTGAAGTTTTTGTTTAAAAATATGTGTATTTTTGTTCTCTTTTCTTCACTGAATTACATTGTGTTATCTTCACCTTGTCAGCAATTATCATGTATGAATTTGAACCTATTAAACTATACATTCAAGGATGTCCTTTCTCCCTTTTAATTTTTAATTTGGTTTTTGAATATTTAAAAGAAGATATTTTGGCTGTTTTAGATAATTATTTAATATAATTACCTACGCTTTGTGAAGCTGTACAACAATCTGATTTAAACTATGGCTATGCAATTAATCTAATTTGCTTCCTTTAGGATCAAACATTTCTATAGACTAATGTAAGAAACTTGCAATTTTTATAGATCGTATAAAATGTTTAGGACTATATTTTCTTATATTACAATAAGTTAAATATGTCTTAATATAGAGACATGATTATAGTGGATATAATTCAGCGGTTAAAATTGCCACAGAATCTCAAGGGAAAGATTACTGTAATTAAAATGAATATTATATCTATTGCTGTATATTTTAAGAGGGATTCCAGTGTTAATTCCTATTAGATGTTTCCCACTGATATATAAATTATTGAGAATTTTTATGGCAAACCAAGAATCCTTGAATCTCTGGCTAAATTGAGGTTATCCTATGATAGTTTTAATTTATTAGACTTTCAGCTTTATCACTGGATTTTTTTTTAATTCTGTATGATAAGGTTTTCAATTTTTTTATACGATCTCCTTTGGGCTCAATTAGGGAGTAATTGTGTAACTCCTTTAAGATCTTGGCAAATACTGGGTCAGCTTATAACAATTGGGGATGGCTTTCCCAGTTTGGAAAGTCACCACATATATTTGCTCATTGATAAGTAAACAATTAAATTTGGAATAATAGCAATAGCACTTAGACTGATATACCATTCCATAATGGTTTCAGTTCTCTTTAGGTACTTTACAGAGTTGGCATATTGCCTCCAACACTCTGGGTCTCCATTTTATCAACCTCGGAAGGATGGAAGTCTGAGTCAAACTCATTTCCCCATCAAGATCAAACTCCTGGCAGTGGGGAGAATTTACCTGCAATACTGCTTTCTAACCGCTGTTCCACTACAGTAATAGCAATAGCACTTAGACTTATATACTGCTCCACAGTGCTTTACAGCCCTCTCTAAGTGATTTACAGAGTCAGCCTATTGCCTCCAACAAGTTGGGTCCTCATTTTATCCACCTTGGAAGGATGGAAGGCTGAGTCAACCTTGAGCCGGTCAGGATCAAACTGCCGAACTGCTGGCAGCTGGCAGTCAGCAGAAGTAGCCTGCAGTACTTCATTCTAACCACTGTGCTGCCAGGCCGGTAACTGGAAAGAACTGTAGTTGCAACATTATTTAGCCTAAATTGCTCAGCTATAATCAGGATGGATAACAATTAGGAGCAGGATATGCACAGCCATCGCAAAGAACTTTATGGAAGTGTTCCAGGTTTTGTAAAGAATAAACAAGCTCAGACGTCAGGCATCCTCATGTCCTTCTCTTTGCTTGTCCCTAACATGTTCTGATGTTTCCATTTTATGGTGACCAACCAACCCAACAACTTTGAGCCTGGTGAGATTCAAACTGCCAAATTGCAAGCAGCCAGCAGTCAGCAGAAGTAGCCCACACTACTGCATTCTAACCACTGCGCCACCATAGCTCTTACCTAATCAAACTCCTTTGAGTGTGTGGTATAATTTGAATTTGAAGATTGATTTATTGGTTGGTTGGTTGAGCTTTTGAGATAGTCTTGACTTCTGAAGCTGCCTGGGCAATTCCTTGCAGTTTTCTTGGCAACATTTTTTTTTGGGGGGAGGGGATGTTTTGTTGTTGTCTTTTCCTAGGGCTGTGAGACAGTGATTGGCTCAAAGTTTCATACCTAAGAACTCACAGTCTCCCAAATTCTGGTCTGATGCCTTGAACCATTACACCAAACTGGCTCTCCACTGGGAAATGGCTTACTGAAAATCTGAGCTAAGCAAGAGATAAATGCCTTAAATCCATTGATTCATAACTGATATGTTAAGGATTTTCAGAGGCTATGTTCTGAGTTTTACTTAAGTTAATATAGCCTTGGGGGAGGGGGGGAAATACAGGTAGTCCTGAACATATGATCACAACTGAACCCAAAATTTTCATTGGTAAACAAGACAGTTGTTAAGTGAGTTTTACCCCCGTTTTACAACCTTTCTTCTTATAGTTGTTATGTGGATCACGGCAGTTGTTAGAATAGAATAGAATAGAATAGAATAGAATAGAATAGAATAGAATA